TCCAGAGTGCCCTGTGCAAAGATGGCTGTTTGGAAAAGCAGATGTTAATGTTATTAACCGGCCTTTGGTGTGGGCATCCCATGCAGCCGTAGGGCTCGCCCACGGTGAGGCCTGTGCCCTGTGTCCAGGCACTCAAAGCCTGACTCTCTCCCAGGAGTCCTAGATTCCAGAGTCTGTCAGCCAGAAGTCAGCCTCTGTCCACACGTGTCCAGCAAGGCCTGGCCGCACGGCAAGAAGGAGGGGGCACAGCCCATCACACCTCCAGGCTCCCTCCCTTACCTGCCCAGGACTGGGGCCAAAGAACAGGGACTGAGCCAGGCTGGAACTTCAGGCTAAGATGGACAATTGACACTCCATGCAGATTCTGCTCCTACAGTTAATTCCTCTTACAACGAACAGAAATAAGGTTAAATAATCAAAATTCACCAACCGGGAGAAATTCACTGATGGCTCAGGCAGGAAATATACAAGATGAGCCTGGAAGCCAGGAAATGCTAAATAACACAAAGGGACTCACTGCCAAGTGGCCAAACTCCCACTGGCCAAAGCTGAAACAATCTGACAGCAAAATAAAGTCACGTGGCTTATAACCCAAGTATAGAATAAATTTCCATGAGTCTACACCGATAGAGATGAATGAATGAATGAATGAATGAATGGAGAGAAGACAAATCTCCCATGCAGGATTCCAAATAATTTCGCAGCCACTGTGCCCACCAGGAGATGGCGCTAAACCCCACGCAGTGTGGCAGCACTCTGTGACTTCCAGAGCCCAGTGGAAAGGGTGGGAGAGGACCTGGTGCAGAAACCTGACCAACCGGTGCAGAAACTTGACCTCCAGGAGGTCAAGGTCACTGATGGGTCATATGGAGAAGGGCACTTGGCCTCTGTGCTCTCCCCGCCCCCCCGAAACCCACGACCCCATCTAACCACAAGAGAAACAGAATAACCCCAACTGAGGCACATCCGATAACTGTCAGCACCCCTTAAAACAGTTAAGGTCATCAAAAACAAGGAATGTCTGAGAAACTGTCAGTCAAAAGGTACCTAAGGAGATGTGACAATTAAATGTCATGTGGGACCCTGGGACAGATAAAGGACATCAGGTAAAAACAGGAACAGAGAATGGACTTTAATAAAAATGTGTGAGTGTTGGCTTGTTCACTGTAGGGGTGCACCATTCTAATGGGAGACACTAATGACTGGGGAAATTGGGTGCAGCGTACATGGGAACACTCGGCACTACCTTCACGGTATTTCTGTAAGTCTGAAACTCTTCTAAAAATAAAATTTACTTTAAAAATTCAACTGGAAAAGGCATAAACCAATTCAATCAACATGAAAACCAGTAGCTAAGGGAAGACACAGAGAGAGGGGAGTGCGGGGTCAGCCCCTCCCAGCTCACCCTGCGGGGCCCAAAGCCACGACAGAGTGACGAGTGATGTGCCTGGCCGCCCTGTGAGCACCTCCGCGTTCCTGCCTTCTGACAGGCAGGGTGGGAGCTGCTGAGGGGGCGTGTCGGGGAGGGGGCAAAGAGGCTGACGCCTGGCGGGGCGGGCCCAGCGCCCTGTGCCTGACGGGCCCCTGCCCTCTCAGGCCGCCACGTGAGCAGGGGAGCAGCAGAAGCCCAGCAGCTCTCCTACCTGCGACAGGAGAAAAAGCAAACCGGGCTCAGAAACTCCAGGAAGAGTAAGACCGCCCTGTCTAGGCTGGAGCCCAGTGGTGGATGGGGCGGCCCCAGCGTGAGCGAAACGGAGAGAACCAGCAGTTTTATGGACGCCCGCTCCATTTCTCTAGGTAAATGCCTTTGGGGGCGTCGCTGAGTCGTGGGCAGGTGTCCGCCTAACTTTAGAAGAAACTGCCACGCTGTTTTCAAAGTGGTCATAGCAGCAACACAAGAAGAATAAGCAAAATGTTCTCAGCTCCGCTCGTGTTAGTCTGTCCTGGTCCGTTCAGGCTGCTTTCGTAAAACGCCACAGACTGGGGCCTCAACTGACTCATTTCTCACAGCCTCGAGGCTGGACGTCCAGGACCGACCCACGGCTGGTGCCGCCCCCTTCCTGGTTCACAGACACATCTTCTGGCTGCGGCCTCACGTGGCAGAGGCGAGGGAGCTCTGGGGTCTCCTTCAGAAGGACAGTAATCCTATTCGTGACCAAATCGCCTCCGGCCTCCTAACACCATCACCTTTGGGGTCACGTCCACGCGCGAAGCGGCTCTATTCACAGCCATGAGAACTGAACGTGCGAACGCCTTCCACCGGCGAAGCGGCAGACACACCAGGTACCAGCACTGAGGATGTGCAGGGCGGGCGGCAGCCAGGGGCGGAGGCCAGCCTCGGAAGGTCACACAGGTACAGCTCCACTTCTATGACGCTCTCGAGGATTACGGGGGTATGGGTGGCAGCAAAGGGCTGGCATGAGGAGTTTTGGGGGGCGATGGAGCCATTCTGTGTCCTGATCATGGTTACGTGAATTTATATATGTTATAACAAAAAGGTTAATTAAAAATTTTTAATTTAAAAAATAAAAAAGATACTCCTGATTAAAATGTTTTGTAAGCTGTCACAAGAGGAAATGTCTCCAGCTCGTTAAAGGCACCTGCCAGAGACTCTGCAATCGTTGCTACATGGTCCGTTAGAGCCGGACGCTGCATGCTTGCTGTCACCCTTAGCTAATGCTTCTGAGGGCCCAAGAGGGAGCAGAAGCTCCAGGACTCAAAGCGGGTACGTGCCAGGCAGACGCGGTGTCTGCCGGGACACAGTGACCCCTGTGGACATCCAGGAGGACCCAGCTAGGACCTCGGAACAGGTTTGGCACCACCACCAGGTAACCAACCAGTGCACACATGGGCCAGCCCCCACCTCCCGAGGGGACAGCATGGGATATAAACCAGGCGAGAGGTTCGCAAGAACTCTGTGAAGAGGGTGAGGAAGCTCCTGGAAGACCCTGGAGAAAGCTCGGACACAAAGAAGCCACATTGTGGTGCCGAGGCCACCGCCACGGAAGGTCATAGGGCAAGCGCCCCACGGTCCTGGCCCTGCTGTGCCACCTTGCGGCCCACGGTGGGGAGGAACCGGGCCCCCTGCGGGCGCTAACGGTGCCACCGAGGGTGCCTCTGTGGAGGGAGGTGGGTGACCAGAGACCAGGGAGCCTTTCAGCCACGTCTCCAGGAGGGGGACACACACTGTGTTCCTCCAGCTGGTACAGCGGTGCTGGGGTGTGGGGATGAGCGCCCTCCAGTGTGACTGCATAGCCATGGCACCACGCAGAGCTAGAAAGAAAAGCGTGGGTCCCAGGGACCTGTGCCCTCGTCCCTCTGGAGCCTGGGGTCGACTTCAGTCACCAGAAGCCCCATCCAGGACTCGCAGTGCCTGGCAGTCATGCTCCCCGAGGTCTTAGTGAAGCCACCGCCCACCAGTGGGAGAGCAATCTTAGTCCCAGCACGTCACAGCTGGGCCACTTCCCACGAAGGCCAGGCAGACCCTTTCACCTCTCAAAAGGCTTTTGGCTAAAAATGTTCTTAAACAAGCAACTTTGTTTTCACAGAACCCTAATACACGCAGGTCACAGGAATACACGCAATGACCAACCGATCTGTCTGTCTATGTGGGATTCAAAGCCCGAGGCAGTTAAGCCGTGGCATTGGGGGAAGAGTTTCGCTGCCTGGAAACGGCAGGAGGCGGTGAGCGGAGCCTGCGCGAGCGCACAGCTGCCATCACTGCGCATCGTGACGCAGCTGGACGCGGAGCCGGCGGCCTCCACCCGCCATGGGTCTGGGTTTGTCATGCTCACTGGCCATTTTGTCCCTAAGAACAGAGGTCACAGGGAGACCCCCGCTCTCGGCGTGGAGGTCTCTGGCTGCAGCATGCGCCAAGGTACCAACGCTGCTCCTGTTGTGCGCGTGTCACCCCTCAGGGACGCAGCCACGGACGGCTTTCTGCAGTGGCACTTTTCGGTTTAATGGGAGGTGCACGTTTTCGGGCACACGGGACTGCCTGCGCTTTCTCCCCCAGTTGCCCGGTCGGGGTGTCAGCCGGATCCCCACGGCCCCTGGTCTGCCCCGAGCTCCCTGCCATCTGCCCACCGGTGGCCAGCAAGGGGCCACTACCCGGGAAGACATCCCTTGCATTCCACTCCAGCACCTGCGTGACACGAATGTTTACCTGTGGCTCCAGCCAACATTCCGACATCTGAGACGAGTACATGACATCAAAACCGAGTGAAACCTGTTAAGTCAGTTTAAGACTGAACTCACCTTTAACGGTACTGGCCTCGGTTTGGTCATCTCCCTTTTTCCAGCTCTCAGTCCTCTTGAATTTTCAAGATTGCTGTACACTACTTAAGCTTTAAACATCCAGGTTTTGAGCGCAGGTGTTGGCCGTGTCAATGGTCTGTGGCGGGTAGTCTGCGTGTTGACGCTGACAGTCCCTGGACTTGAGAGCTCTCTGGGGCATCTGTGCAGTGCTCCCAGAAGCAGGCGTCGCGGCCCTCACGAGGCCCAGACAGAACTAACAGAGCCTCTGGCCTGGGTGGGATGCCGACTCCCCTGCCCTCGGATGGCACAGCCCCCCAGTCTCCCTGGTCTTCGCCCCCACGATGCTGTGCAGCCCCCCACCGGGTGAGTCCCTTTATGTGCACCTGTGTCTGTGCATCTCTCGCCACCCTGTCCTTCTGCAGAACCCTAGGCAGACATGGGACCGCACCGCCCACTGGGACCTCACGCATGGTGCCCACCGAACCCCGGGGACCAAACACCAGACCCAGTTAAATGAAGCTCCGCAGCCAACGTGAGAGTCACTGAGGTGACCACTCCCGGTGGGCGGTGGTCACGGAGGGAGCTGTGAGGGTCAGGGCTGCAGGAGGCAGGGACAGCGAGCGTGGCGTGGAAGCGGTCAGAACCAGCAGTCAGGGTGACAGTGATGTCGTCTCGCTGTCACTCTGACACCATCTACCTTACGCTCTCGCGGATGTTTCAGGTAACAGATTTCCAGCCCGAAGTAAATTTAGTCAAGTTTTTCTTTTGCTTTTATTACAAGCATATAATATTAATTGGCAAAACACTGAATACAAGCTTCACGGTCATAAAATCAAAGCACTTAAGCAATATTTCGAAAAAGATTGTAGACAAAAACTAGCCACCAATAGTACAAAAATTACACACCAACACAAAGCATAAAAAATGTAAACTTTCAAATTAAACAGTCAAAAATATGATTCTGCATTGTCATCTCCACGCCCGACAGCCAGGCTCAGAGGTGAGCTCTTGCCCTGAACCCCACGAACCCCATCGAGATGTTGGAAGGGACACTGACACTGTGCTGCACACACCATCGGGGACGCCACACTTCGGGCGTGCTTCCAGACAGGTGGGGAGCGCCCGGGCGGGCAGTAGCCGCGTCCCACCTGGCAGGGAGCCTCTGTAAAGACAGCAGTGCGGTCTCAACGACATTCTCTCATCCACCGATCTCGACGCACTCAGTTCACTTAGATGCCACAGCAGAGACGCGCACGGGTTTGTCAGGCTAAGGTCACAGGTGACGTGGCGGAGTGTGCGTGATTTCCTGAGGACACGGAGAAACTACATTTTGTGGCTTAGCTACCTGCACTGAAGTTGTTTTCGATGTTTTTGAGAGCACATCAGAGATTCACACACAAGGCAGAAACCGGCTGGCTCATTCCTAGAACATTCAATCCAACGACACACTTCAGATCCCTGGAAAACACCTGTGCGCTCTGAGGGAAAACTAAACAGGTTCTAAAGGGGTGGAGAGGAGGCCGCATGCCCTGGCGGGCTCGGAGCTCAGGGAGGCGGCACCGTCACATCTGTGGTCGGTGCGGGGAAGGGAGGGATGTCCAGGGGCGTGGCACACGGCGTTCAAGGCCACAAGACCCACGGCAGCCACGTGGCCGGGCCGCTTACTTCTGAATGCTGCTGCCACGCGTTCCTGCCCAGGCACACGCACTGTAAGCCTTCTGACGATGAAAACAAGCCAGATGCTGACTGTACGGACTCTGAGACTCCACTTACTCTCCTTTTCAATTCTGCGGAAAAGACGCTACGCTACCGTTTAAACGTGTGTCTAATGAACACGTGTTGGAACCTATTGCACAAAAGCATAAACAAAGCTCTTCATCCCCACAAAACAATGACATACAAATTAAAATGACTCAAAGTAAAAAGAAGCTTGCAAAACATCTTACAATTTCATTTTATATGCCTGTAAATAAAGCTGGACCACGGAAACCAAACACTGGATGGGAAAATATGATAGAGGCTTAAAATAGAATAAATAATTTTATAAAGTTAGGTTTTCTTTTCTTAACCCCCCAAAACCTTAAATTCAATATTATATATTCTATCTGAATTTTCTATTTTCATGGAAACCATGTCGGTGGGACTGAGTGCTGGGTGACGGTCCCGCTGCACAAGCACCTGTGAGGGCGACTTCACAGTAACTCCCTCCGGTAGGAGAAAACCTAATGGGATCCCGTCACTCACCGAGCCTGACTTTCATGCTGAAACCCGCGAAATTCAGCCTTTCGACATCACTGAGGGCCCAGCGCCGTGAGCCTCTGCGGCGGGGCGCGGTCAGAAGAGGGCCCGTCCCGTGGTGCGTTCTGCACAAGGAAACTTAGAAAAATAGCTACTTCTGCGGCTGAGGTTCTGTCAGGTTCTACGATTACGAAGGTGGGCCACACACGCGAGGTCAGCAGCCAGCCGTGATGGGGACGCTGGCCCCGACTTACCTCCATCTCTGTTCAGATGTATCGACTTAGCACCATAGCAAATTCAAGTGATTTCAAAGATAGCTACAAAGTTACAAATACACGGGGTTCTTACAGCCGCAGCCAGCTGACTCTGATCCTGGACCGATTTCGTCTGGATTCGGGTGCTTCGCCGCTCACCCCGTCACTTCGCCACACAGGACAAGGCCAAGACCCCGGCGCCATGCCCAGGCGCAGCGTGGCGACTCGCGGTCTAGAGCTCCGGCGGCGATGTGTACTTTGAGGTAGACAGGTACTATTTACTCACACACGGCCGCTCGCTGAGCCTCGTGTCCCACGGAGACGAAGGGGATGGACGGCTGAGGAAACTGGACGGTCCTGGCGGAACCGCGGGTGGGGGCTGAGGTGAGGAGGCGGCTGGCCAGCTCCTAACAACCGGCTTCTGTGTTTGAAAAGGCCTTACATAACATCGCTTGGGTGGAAGCATCTGAACGTTTCTCATCACTGAGGTCAGGTCTCACTGTCAGCTGCTTCTCATGTTTATGTACACGAGACAGGAAGCAGAGAAAACAAGAGTGAAGGTCCGTGAGCCCAACCATAACTTCTGAAGCAAATGCAAGAAAAAATTCTCGTCACTAAAGTGAAATATTTCATGGAAAACCCAGCCCTCGGGCCACCCTCGGAGGCGGGGGGTGGGGGCTCGCGGCCCCAGGACCCCACGGGCCAGGCAGCTGACGGGCAGCAGCCCGCAAGGTGACGGCGGGAGGAACGCAAGGTCAGTGGGACATGCAGACGGAGGTGACGACGCTGACCCTCTGGAAAATGGGTCCTTGACCTCGTTCTTGCTTTATACATTCCAAGGTACTATCTTAAAGGAACAAATATTTGTGTGCTAGCAAAGAATTTATTCTCTAATTCCACAAAAATATTGACATTTGGGAAGAGAAAGGGTTTGACAAAGTGTGTGCTGCCTGCGACTGGTGTGTTCGGTCACTACAGAACTAAGTAAGCCACTGGGGCACAGAGCAGCCCCCGGGGTGCTCGGCCTGAAAACTGTCCTCCAGGAGGCACGGCCACGTGGTGTGCAAGGGCCAGCAGAGGGGAGGGCTGGTGGCCGGCGTCCCGGGGGGTCACGGGGACCCTGCGTCGGCACTGGCCCCTCCCCGATGGAGGTGCCTTCTCAGGAGAGGCGCCCAGACGCCACTCTGCGTGAAAACGGGGTTGGACGAGCAGGGCGTTAAGTGGCAGCACTGAATCATCGGTGCCCTGTTTGATCACCAGAGGAATTTAGAAGAACAAGAACGCTCTGCAAACCAGCGTTGAGCCGCTCAGATGCCCCGGCCCACGGGCGCCGACGTCACGCAGCAGCTCCAGGGGCCGGAGGCTGTCGGCTCGTGGGCTGCACGATGGGGAAATGGACAGCATGGTTAACGCGTAACATCAATGGCCACCTCTTTTGGTACGCTTTTAAATTAAATTTTTATATATCTTCTAAGTCTTCAGGTAGCTAAAGGCAACATAAATATCGTCATTCACCATGAAAAGATATTTTTTCAATAACTTAGGATTCAATAAACGTACAAGTGTTCTCGAGGCTTATCACGAAACCTAATTCATAAACTAAACCGAAACGACCAAGATTTTGAGGACCTGGAAGCAAGCGAAGGTCACGTGTGTCAGGATGGGACACGCCACCACTGCACGCATCACTCTGGTCTGGCTGAAGGACTGAAGTGTCTCGGCATCTTGTCACCTGGTGCTGGTAGTGTCTTGTTGAGTGTGAGTTCTCGCATATAAAAGTTATAAATATTCTCTATTCGGAAATCTGGTCCACAGGACACCCCGAGGCGACGTCCTGGAGCGCGGTGGTCGTGGTTGCGCCAGCCCCGCGCTCACTGGGCGCCGGGGCGCGAGGGCCGCGAGCCTGCCGCCCGCTCACAGCAAGTCCATCTTGGGTCTGTAGTGCAGCAGCAGCGGCGCCTTCTGCAAGACAGGCCGCGGAGACCGAGCCGTCAACAACGGGCCACGACGAGGGCACGCTGCGCTGGCCGCTGCGTGCAGTCGGGGACAAGGCCCAGAGCTCCTTCCCAGGGCCCCGGTGACCAGGGGCACCCACTCCTCCACAGACCCTGCGCCCCTCCCCTGGGCCTGGCCAGGGTCGGCCCTGGATGTCTCTCCCCTCCCCGGCTGGCCGGCCCCAGGACAGGTGCTACCCATCCGTGCTTCACAAAGAGGCAGCCAAGGCTGCAGGGCGCCCTCCACTGGCAGCAGGACGAGGTCACCGCGACCAGGAGGGCCTGGCAACTCTGGGGTTGATGCTTTCAAAGCAACTGCGTTTCGAACAACCCCTTGACTGCATCATCGCTTCAGAACCACCAGATAAAAACACGCTGCTCGTAGCAGCTTCCGGGCGCCACGTCAAACGCCCTGGAACGAAGTGACGCGCCTCACCTTGAATCTCCATCTCGTGACAACCACAAATTTGAGTGTGTGGTCCTTGCCCAGGATTTCCTCGTTGCATAAAATGTCCAGCTGGCGGAAGAAGGAGGCTTTGGTCAGCAGGGTCGACAGGCACTCGGTGTGCGTGGCCCTGGTCTATGCCAGCCGGACTGGTCTGGGCACAGGCGCCATCGACTGCAGGTCGTGTGCCCTCGTTTCTGGGGTGGCAGGTGGGAGGGAGCACTAGGAAGGCGCCTCTCCATCAACCCAAGGGCACCTGGGGGGCCTCCGTCTACACCCTCCCCCTGGGGGTCTCCATCTACACCGGCCATGACAGCCCTGGGGCTGAGCTCCTGGCTACCCTCACCCAGAGTACCCTGTTCCGCAGCCTTCGTCCACCCCTTGGCCAAGCTTGTCCCTCTCTCCTCAGGGGAAAAACTAACAGGCTCCCCAGTCTTTTTCCTTCTTTTTCTTTTTAAGAACTATTTTTAGAGCAGTTTCGGGTTCCCAGCAAACGGAGCAGATGGTACAGAGAACCCCCCACACGCACAGCACCCCCCAGACAGCACGGCCGCCTCAGTCGCTGGCCTGCACTCGACACACCATCATCACCTAAAGTCCGCAGTCTACGTCAGAGTCGCTGTCACGGCTACGCCCCGCCATCGTGGTGTGGACGTCACCACCTGCCATCGTGTGTCTCACAAAGGGGCTCTGTGCCCTCAAGACTGTGAGGACTTCTCCCAAGCACATCCTTTCGGTGACGGACAGCTCACTGACTTCCTTCAGGTGGATGCTAGGGGGAGCTCACCCGGAGCAGGGCAGACCCCAGTGGCTGTGGCAATCAGTGCTGGTGCCCATGGAGCTGCTTGAGCTCGCTGGCCCCCACCCGGAGCTGGAGGGTCCGAGTTTGGGGAACGGTTTAGGGTTGTTTGCTCCTTTGTTCGTGAGCTGGCGGCTGCTCCGGCCTGACTCCTGGGGGTCAGGCTGCTGTCCCGGCTCTCCGGCATGTTCCGTGGGAACCGGGTAGTGTCCACGGAAACAGGGCTGGTGTGTGCGGCTGCGCCACCCCTGCACTCCAGGAGACAAGCCCTGCCTGGCCGTGGGACGCAGCCCTTTCACACGCTGCTGAACTGTCGGCTGGCGTTTTGCTGAGGATTCTGCACCTGTGTTCACACGGGACACTGGTCTGCGGCTGTCTTTTTTTGTAGTGTCTCCGTCTGGCTTTGGCATCTGGGTGATGCTGGCCTCCCAGAACGTGTTCCGGGTGTTCTGTACTCTTCGACTTTCTGGAGACGTTGCAGAAGGATCGGAATTAGTTCTTGAAAGTTCGGCAGAATTTACCAGCGAGGCCGTCGGGTTCGCAGCTTTTCTGTGCTGGGAGACTTCCAATGGCCGACTCAATCTCCTTCCTCGTCAGGGCGGCTCAGATTTCCTGTTTCTGTGATTCAGTCTTGGCGGGTTCCGTGCTTCTGGTTTCCGTCCCTTCCCTCAGGGCACCCCGCTCGCTGGAAAGCGCTCGTTTGCAGCTCTCATAACCCTCGCTGCTTCTGTGGACACGGCAGCAACGTCCCCACCTTCGTTGCGGACGTCAGGAACCGCTGGCCGCCTCCCTGGTCCATTCTATCCGGGACGGTCCCGCTGCCCCACGGGGAGGAGCTCCGCGTTCCTCTCCTCTTCTGCGCGTCTCTGCCCTGCCCTTCGTCGCTTCCTTCCCTCCGCTAACTGCGGTTTAGTTTGTTCTTTTTCCAGCTTCCTAAGTAGTAAAGGTAGGGTGTTGACTTGACGTCTTTCTCGTTTTTAGTTTGTTTACAGCTATAAACCCTCCACCGCCCGGCACTGCTTTCACTCAGCACATAAGGCTTGGCTGCCGTGTTTTCCTCTTCGAACGTCTCTAAGTATTTTCCAGTTTCTCTTTGATCCTTTGGAAGTGTGTTGTTTAATTTCCACAACTCTGAATTTTCCAGGATTTCTTTCGTTATTGATTTCTAACCTCATCCACTGTGGCCAGAGGATACACTCTGTATGACATCTCCCTTTTAAAACCTACTCAGAACATTTGTGCCTGTCCTTCTCTTATACGACCCCCTGTCACTGGGTGTAGGGCCCACTGGGATAATCCAAGGCGATCTCTTTTTCTCGAGATCCTTAACATACCTCCAAAGGCCTTTTTTCAAATAAAGTCATAACAACATGTTCTAAGGGTTAGGAAATGGACATATCTTTTGGTGGGCTCATCATTCGACCTATGACAGTCTGCCTTGTGGCCCCCCAAAACCCATATCCATCCCACATGCAAAATACATCTGCCCCGTCCCAATCTCCCCAAGAGCCTCAACTGATTCCAGCATCGACTCCAAATTCTAAAATCTCACCTAGATGCCATCGGCTGAAAAATCCCAGGTCTCATCTTCTAACTCACAGACTAATGACGCCCTGGCTGTGTCCCCGTGGAACCAGGACAGACAGCATGTGCTCCCAGGATGCCAGGGCCGGACGCAGCGTGGGGCTCCCGCTCCACAAGGGAGACGCAGCAAAAAGCATATTAGGTCACTGGACTCAAGCAAGTCTGAAACCCGGCAGGGAAAATCCCATGAGGCTTCACGAGAACATGCCACTGTGAGCTGAGGTCCTGCCCTCCGCCCTGTGACGCCTCAGCCTCCTCTTCACCCTCCGGACCAAGGCTCTGCCCTTAGGCCATTCTTCCCTTTACTTGAAGAGTAGGTCATGGTTGCAGCCAAGTGGCTCCGTCAGCCCAGACGCTGCACGTAGAGTTTCGGAAGCGTGACGGCCTGTTCCCATTTCTTCTTGTCTGTCCCCTTCAGTTCAGGCTGGCGTAGTCTCTGCTGATACAGCACTCTCAAAAACTCTGTGGGTCCCCCACATATGTCACAGACCCAGGTCACTAGGCACAGAGACGCTGCAGGGACCTCCCGGGTGACGCCTCCCCACCCCTAGAGGTTGGAGCCACCCTGAGTCACATAGCTCATCTCTTTGGCAAAGGGCTGTCCAGCCACGCCCTTGGCTTTGTCTCCAGCACCCCCGCCCCCCACAGTGACATCCCGGTAGAATCGTCTCTCACAATCTGGACAGGCTTTGAGTCCCCAGGGCCGTCCAGGGTAGCCTCTTCCTGCTCGGCAGTCCTTCCCGAGCCCAGCTCACTCCTCTCCCCATTCACGGAAGCAGAAGAAACCGGACCACGCCGCCGACGCCGCAGGGGACTCTCCGCTCACACCCACGCTCGCCACCTCCAGGCTGCTTCCCAAGTCCGGCCGCGTCTCCACCACCGTGTGGCAAGGCCACTTTTCTTCCTGTCCCCAAAGCTATGCCCCTTTCCCTCTGAGCTCTCACGAGAGGTGTCTGAAATACCCTACTTCCTTCCACCAACATTCTACGTGACGTGGTGACATGTACCCGCAGGTGACAAGCTTTCTCTACTGAGCTCCGAACTCCCTCCCGGTGACCACCAGAATCACCCTTAATGACGATACTTCTACTCACAGTCTCTTCGAGGCCAACGGGGCTTTTAGAAAGTGCATTTCTCAAAATTCTTCCAGGCTCTACCTGTTACCCAAGTCCAAAGCCACTTCTGCATTTCCAGTGTTCGGTGCGGTAGGGCTCCACATGCTGGTACCAACATCTATTTGGTTTCCTGCAGCAGCTGACAAAGCACCACGACTTGGTGGCTTGAAATAACAGGAATTTACTTTCTCGCAGATGTGGAAGCCGGAAGTCCAAAATCTAGGTGCTGGCAGGCAGAGCTCGCTCTGGAGGCTCAGGAGAGGGTCTTTCCTGTCTCTTCCAGCTTCTGGTGGCTCCAGGCATCCCTGGGCTGGTGGCCGCCTCCCTCCAGGCTCTGTCTCTGTCCTCACGTCACCGTCTGTGTGTCTCAAATTTCTGTCTATCTCACTCTTGTAAGGACACTTGTCATTGGGTCCACCAGATAATCCAGGATTTCTTCATCTCAAGATCCTTTACTGTATCTCAAAAGATCCTTTTTCTTAAAAAAGGTCACGTTTGCAGGTTTGGGGTTAGGATGTAACATACCTTTTCCGGGGCCACCATTAAATCCACTGCTCTAAAATCTATGGCAAGTCCGTCCACTTCTCACTCTCACTGTGCCATCCTAGGCCGTGTCTCCTGGGACTCTGGCCCCAGATGCCGCCCCCGCTGGCCTGACTTCCACTTCTGTGCTCCAACAACCATTTTCCTCTCAGCCTGAGCACTCCTGTAAAGCTGTACCTCAAACCACGAGTCCCAGCCCGTCCTCACATTCGTGCACGCACAGCTGGCTCCCAGCAACGACTTACGTCTTAGCCAACGTCGCCACCTCAGGAAGCTCCCCAGTGAGTCTCAAGCCACGGTGTCTGCCCCGCCCCCCATGCCTCTGGGCCCACTAGGCCACCAGGTTTGTTTCCTTCTCAGCGTCTATCACGACTTAGAAGTATCTCGTCTGCCTACCTGCTCACCCTCGCCCAGGCCCCATTCGTCCATTTGTGAAATTGGAGAAGAGACGTCTGTGCTGCAAACGCGCACACGGAGTCACGCACCCTCCCGGCGCCCGCCAGCAGCAGTGGCTTCCCCACGCCCACGGCCTGGGCCCCCGCCATCCTCACTGCTGTTCCCCACTACGCTACCTGGGGGCCAAACACACTGAGGGCTTTTCCTGATTTAAAGTCTCCAAAGTTGCGGAGCCCAAAGAACTCGGAAGCACGGCTCCCCGGGCCGGCCACGGCGCGCAGGCCCCAGGGCGCGCTACCTCGTTGAAAGAGGACAGGTTCAGCTTCTTGGCGATGAACTTCTTCAGGTGCAGGACGGTGGCCTGGGCCGAGCAGCGGATCCACTTGCGCTTGAGGCCGCGCAGCTTGCTGCTGTTGCACTCCAGGCAGATGCTCACCTGCAGGACAAAGGACACACAGCTGGGCCACGGGCCGCGCGGCCCCGCCCTCGAGGCCACCGCACGCACCTGTGGCCGCCGCCAACCTAAGAGTGCTGGCCTTCTGAAATCAGAAATCTGTGACCTCGACACTGCAGAGGAAGAATTTTCAAAAATAGTTTTACACACATTGTCATAAAATCTGTCGTTTGCCACTTTGTGCAACACAATCCGACACTCTCGATTCTGCCTCGTGAACAGGGGACTTTAGTAAACGTCAGGACGGGCTCCTTGCAGGCACTGGGCAGGTCTCTGAGCGCACCGACCGGGACCGGAGCCCGACCTGCGAGCCCTGCATCCGTCCCCGGGCTGGGCCGGCGCCTGCTCCTGCTCGAGCGCACTGGGCTGTCTGGTAAGGGAAGTGGCCCTGCGCTCGGCCTCGGGCAGCAGACTGACCAGAAGAGGGGAGCGTTCTGGGAGGAGGGAAAGGCGCCGAGTCTGCAAGCTCGTGGCCACCTTTTGGACGATCGACAGCTCAGTGGGATTAGAGTACGCTGTAAGTGACAAGAGACCGCAAAATGACAAACTAAGTAAAAGTGATTCTAGGGTCCTAGGGTGCCTGGTAGATGCAAAAGGGACCCTTGCAAGCAGCGACGACCCCAGGCCACACAGGACACTGAGAAAGCCCCACCTCGGACACCTCGCTCATGAGCATGGTCCTCCAGCAAGAGCCACAGCAGATGGCACAGCCGCACCCCACATCCAGACGGAAGAATTAACAAAGGGATGAACTAGAACGTGCTCGTCTAAAACTACTCAGGAGACAAAAGAATGAATTAAAAACAACGCACCATAAACAAAGAAAAACGTGACTGTAACTCACAGGAATGAAACACATTCACTTAAGCTAAAAGCTCAATGGCTGGCTGGACCACGGGCCAGTCTCAGCTAAAGACAGGTCGACTTGAGTAAATCACCCCAAAGAAGTATGGAGACGCGGACATTCGTTAAGACAACAGCGCAGAGGAGGTGAGAGCTGACAGATCGGAGGCCTCGCACGCACACAGGGGTCCAGGGGAAGAGGACGGAGGGAGGGAAAGGCAGCCCATGGATAATGCCAGAGGGGCTCCCCGAAATGATGAAAGACAGCGACCCTCAGATTCAGGAAGCGGAAGAATCCTAAACAAAATAAAACGAAACCGACACCTATACAGACAATGGCGACACCTCAGAACACAGAGGGGAGGCCACGGAAAGATGTGGCAGCTCTCGGGCGAGGCCGCCGAGCACAGAAGCGAGGGCCTCCCTCCCGGGCATCGACAGGAGTGACCCAGAGCAGCTGCAGTCCGGGAAGAGCGAGCCCGACCCAGCAGGGCAGACGACGGGGGAAGCTGAGCCGGCCAAGGGCTCTGACCGGCCTGGGGTTTGGGAAGAGGAGGGGTGGGTGGCAGACTTGCAAGGCGGGGGGCACCCAGGCAGAGTGAGCACCCTCCTGCCATGTAGGAGGCAAACTCACATTAACTTCAGACTTTTAAAAATGTAAATATTCATTTCAGAACTCAGTGCCCACTAAAAGAATAAAAATAAGACATATATCTTGCCAACTAGAGGCAAAAAAAGATTAAAGAACTTACTCTGGTTCAACAGAAAACGAGAAGGGGGAGGGGCATAGGAAATAAACAGAAAAAACTAAAGCAGGGAAGAAACCAAACTTACCAGTAATCATGGTAAATCTAAAATATTTTTAAAGAAATTTCCTGATTAAAAAAAAAAAAAAATAGCTCCATGCTGTAAAAAGTGTCACAGTTAAGAAAGATATTTTAAAAACTGAAGTACAGATGTGGTTCCGTAGTGTAGCGGTGAGCACGTCTGCTTGACACGCAGAAGGCCCTGGGTTCGCGCCCCAGTGGAGCCACGGTCCATGGTCTACGGCCATGCCACCCTGAACAAGCCCGATGTCTGACCTCGGAAGCTGAGCAGGGTCGGGCCTGGTTAGTACTTGGATGGGAGACCACCTAGGAAGACCAGGTGCTGTAGGCGTAAAAAATAATAGTAATAATAAAAAAAAATTGAAGTAGCAGGCAAATGTTAACCAAGAGAAAGTGGACATAGCCATGTCAGTGTCAGAGAAAGCAGACTTTAAGAAAACAAGCTGAGTAAGAAAACGCTCCCTAAAGAAGGGAGCTGTTTCCGGACGTGAAGGTACCTAGTGACCGACGCAGCCGGACAGAAGGGAGCAGGGAGCCCCCGCCCACGGGGCCCACAGGTCTGGGCCCAAGGCGGAGGCTCCACGCATACCAGTTTGCCCGCGGCACTGGCCGGAAAGGCCCTCGTGCCCACTGAGCTGCTGGCAGAGTAAATGAGGCACAGGTCCCTGACCTGGCAAAGGGACAGGGAGGCCTGTGCCCCGGTGCAGACACCGTGGCTATGTGACCGTGAGTAGGGGGCACAGCCACGCATGCCTTTTATGTACGGAAGGAGCAGGGGGAATGAGAAAACACATACGTTTATGTTCAGGTTTGCGGAAACACAGAAGTGTCATGGAGTGGTGATCTACATGGGGGAACACTGGGGACAGTGACGGCGATGGACAGTGAAACTACTAAATTTAAGTCTTTTATATAACGTTAGTCTTTGGTCTATGTGAACGTATACACTAACTGAAAAGCACGTTTTTAACTTTTAACAGCTTCACTGAGGTCTAACTTACATGTATTTATATATATGATTCAATAACTTTTCAATTCACAGTTGTGCACACACTACCATAATCCAGTGTTAGCGCATTTCCATCAGCTCGTCAGGACTCGGCTCCGTGTGCCATCGGCCCCTGAGCCCATGCCCTCCCCAGGCAGCCGGTACTCTGCTGTCTCTTCAGGCAGACCGTTTCCTGGACATTTTAGATAAGTGGGATCCTACAGCATGTGGTCTCTTGCCCCTGGCTTCTTTCACTTGTGAAATGCTTTGAGATTCACCTGCATGGTGGCACGTGTCAGTGGCCCATCCTCTCATGACTGGCCGGCCCCCCTCTGCAAGGGGGACTGCATTCCGCCTACTGTGGTCAGCCTGTGGATATGTGTGTTGTGCCCAGGCCAGCCACTACGCACGTCGCTGTGAACACTCGTGGATGAATCTTTGGGGGGTGTGCTTCCACACACACCTAGGGGCGGGACTGCCGGGTCGGACAGCTCATCTGCGTTTAGCTGGTTTAAGAAGCCGCTGGACTGCTGTCCACAGCGGCTGTGCCATCTCACGCTCCACCTGCCATGCAGGAGGCTCCCGTTCCTCCACGTCCCGCCAGCGCTCGCTGTTGGCGGTCTCTGTGCTAACAGCCACCCCAGTGGGGGTACGTGGTGCCTCGTCAGGGTTCTCATTCACGTTCGCCTGCTGACGAACGGTGCTGGACATCGCAGGTGCTCGCGAACCGTCTGTACGTCTGCTTTGGTGAAACGTCCGACACCTTTTGCTCATTTCTTAATTGGACTATCTCCTTACCGAGTTACGAGAGTTATACATTCTAGATCCAAGTCCTTTATCAGAAATATGATTTGCAAATCCTTTCCCCAGTCTGTGGCCTATCTTTTTATCGCCTTAATGGTGTCTTCGCCGAGCGGCGGTTTCTAATCTGAAGTCAATTCGTCACTTTTACGAGCTGTGCTCTTCCCGTCGCAGCTGAGAACTCTAGGCCTAACCCGAGGTGCTGAAGCTTTCTCCCGTTTCCTTGTGAAAGTCCGAAAGTTTCAGCTCTTCTATTCTGAATACGGCAAGGGCATAAATTAATCTTTTTGCTTGTGGCTCTCTAACTGTGCCGGCATCACTTGTTAAAAACACCATCTTCTCCCCAGGCCAGAGCCTGGGCACATTTGCTGAAAACCAAATGACCATAAACCTGAGAGTTTCTTTCCGGACTCTAGAATCCATTCTATTGACTTACAGTCTACCTAAGGCCTATAACAGTGTCTTGATTACTGTAGCTGATGGTTAGAATTTTCAACACATACTTTTAAATATAACCCATGGGTCGAAAAAGAAATCGTAATGAAAAATTTAAGATACTTAGAACCAAGTAGTATAGTTAGAAACTATATGAATAGTCAACTCAGGTCAATAAAACTGACAACCTCAATCTTATACAAACGTCCCTAGGGAATTAAAAACGGAAGAGGGACTATCACCAGCTATGAAACTTGTATAACTTCAAAACCACAACTACAAAGATACACACAGAGAAAAAAAAAATACAGCTAATTCCAGTTTGAACATATATACATAATCCTACACAAACACTAGCGAACCATAAATACATTTTAAAATCCGCGGTCAAATTCGGTTTATCCTGGGAACGAGTATAAGGATGGTTTACCAACAGAAAAACGTCCATGCAGTTTATCACGGACGATGCCAACAGACACCGAGAGCCCGACAGTGGGGGCGGGACAGGAACCCAGATCCGCATGAGGTCAGAGGTCAGAGCCCCCCCGCGGGGCACACAGGCACCAACACACGGTCCCCCGAGACAGGCGAGGCGGAGGTGGTGCCGCTGGTGCACGAGCACGCGCTCCTCCAGGCGGCGTGGGGACCGAGCCACCAGGGCAGCGCTCCGTGCCCCTCGCTTAGCTTTGCAGAGGGACACAGCCCGTCACACAGAGCAGCTGCACCTGTCCCGCCTGCCCGCCCAGGAAACTCACCCCAAGCATCCACCCCTCCTGGCCCGAGGGTCTGGGGGACAGAGGCAGGTGGCCGTCTGCAAGGGAGATGGAGTCAGGGACCTGCAGGTGTGAGGGGCTGGGGACAGGTGTGACAGGGCTTGCAGCAAGGCCTCCCAGGGCTGCGGGGACACGGCCACCATGGAGGGAGCAGGCAGCAGGTGTGGAGCCCTGTGGCCACCAACAGGTGATGCTGCCACCCAGCCAAGTACGAGCCAAGACGCGAGCGGGCCGTGGGTCAGAGGGGGCCCTTCACCTGCTACTGCATTCCTCCTCCACTGACCCCAAGCACAGAGGACCACAGCCTGCACGTCCAAGGACGTGTGTGTGCTGCCGCAGTGCTCACAGTCATCTTTTTAATCCAACAGAAGTATATCGACTGGAAAATTAAGATTCTGTTATTCTGTTCTTGTACCCAAACCACACGATTTTAATCGTCTTTAAGAAACACATGTATACATGTCTGCAACTGCATGTTTCACGTATTAAGTATACAGACACAGATCAGACTGTGTAGCACGTGCATATGTGACCAAGTATGTGTGTGCATATCACACTCACATTCTAGTGTGGCCGACACCCCTTGTCTTTGTGGTTATTTATTTTCTTTCAAGCGAAGCAACCCTTGGTTGACCTCACAGATGACAAGGACCGTGGCAGCTTATATTCCCTTATTTTTTATTTTTTACGCCTGCAGCACCTGGTCTTCCTAGGTGGTCTCCCATCCGAGTACTAACCAGGCCCGACCCTGCTTAGCTTCCGAGATCAGATGGTATCGGGCATGTTCAGGGTGGCATGGCCGCAGACTCTGTGGTTATTCTTGAGCCTTTCCTCTCCCAGGTGAGCTTCAGAAGCAGCTGCTTAAATTCGATAATAAATGGTTAAAACCGCAACCCGAGATTAATTTGGGGAGCACCAATATCTTGACGTTATCCTCTGCGTCCAGTCATTCCAACCTCCCTCTCGCATCCTCCCCAAGGTTTAGAGTCTTCGTTTAGTCCTCACGCACTTCTCATCAGGCCATTGAATACGGCGCCACAGCCACATATACTGTCAGGTGTTCAGCCTCTCTCCCCAGTGGGAAGCAGTCCACCTCACAGTCCCCGGTGACCGTCACATACCACATGTCAGACAACGGTCCAAGGACATGCCGCGTTTGCCTCACACGTCTCGTGTCTTTTGTCCGCTGTTGTATGATGGACCTCCAAGTCATGCTAAGTGACAGCTAATAAGGGACAGTTCCTCATTTCTGGTATTAATAAGAATGGTTCTGTCTCATCACAAAGTATGGTGACTGTGAGTCACGGTTTTCAAGGTAAGATGCTGTATTAAAAAGTATGGCAGACACAGATGTGGGACTCTGTCAAATTCTCTTACAGCATCTCTGTGACCATGCAGTTCTTTTTAGTCTAATAATGCGGTGCACAGCGTGAATGGATCCCTCAGCATTACATTTGAAATTTTCATTTACTACACTACTGAACTCCATTTTACGTAACATTTGCACGTACACCAAAAACACCTGGCACCGAATTACTCAGCGGCGACCTGGGGACTGAAGAGGCCCTGAGTGTACGGAGAGTGAACCTTGATTTCTGTGTATTTATGTTTTGCAGCGAGTACATGTTACTTTGGCAATTAAACAAACGAAGGCAGGTGCTGGCAGGACACGCCAGTGTGCAGACTCCCTTTCCCTCCTGCCTGTCCCTCTGCTAAGCAGGAACGCACCCCAAGTAGAAATATCTAGTGCATTTCCGCTTGGTCACAGTTTTGGGACACACGCTGCGGTCACCGACCTGCTCGTCACTTCTGTGGTAATCGTTGTCGTCCTCCTGCTTCTCTTCTGCTGCCTCTTTGTTCGAACTGTCATCCGCTTTGGTTTCACCTTGTAGCAAGAACGGAAGACGTGGTATTATGGGATCCGAAACACTACACTGTTACTTCTGACCCTACGGTACACTTGAAGAGCTGTGAAAAGTCCCTATAAGAAGTGTGCACCATGAAGCGCACACGTAAGAGTCAGAGGAGGTGGCTGACAGTGTCTGCTGAGACTCAGTGTCCTCAGTCAGGGAGCCCCCTGGAAGTGGGGCTCGCCACATGGTCTGCGGTGTGAGTTGAGGCTCACAGGACGAAGGTGACGGGATGGGTAAAAGGCACACAGGAGCTCCGGCCCCCTCAGTCCCCCATGCCACTGGGCAGCTCCCACGCACTGTGGAGCTTAAGCCTCCATCTCGGGGGACGACTGGGACAGGAACCCGGGGTCCCAAACATGTCCCTAACCGCCTACCAGGGGCCTACCAGGGGCCCTGTGATGCCACAGGTCCTCTGCCTCCTCAGACTGCGAGATGCATAGGGCCGTCTACCCTGTTCGGGAGGTCGTGGTCCACCACAGAAACGCCGTGGCACCACGCACTGGAACAGTTTGCTGTGACACATGCAGACTGTAAAGCACTGCTAACCATGCGTCAAGGGCAAAAGGCTACTTGGCCAGCAAAACCGAAATGAACGGTCTTAGGGAGCCATGCCCCACGACGCCCCACTGTGCACCCCGCTCCAGGGACCTCTGGGGACTCCCATGCCTCCCCTCCAGCACCACATGGGCCCTGTCTACACCCCGCCTCTGTCAGCCCTGTCTCACGCTCCCACCTGCACCGGAAGTGAGGGAGACAACCCGGATCACAAGGTCCTTCTTCCCACACACCCACTTCCAAGCTTTTGTTATGTAAACTGTAAAGTGCCTGAAGGGAGGGGGCTCTTTAAGAAAAGGCCTGATAAAGTGACCCCCACGTCTTGGCTCACTCACCGTTCCGATGGGGGTCCAAGTGTTGCTTTGCAGAACAAGTCTCCCCCTTGATGTCTCCAGGCACTTCCATGCCTAATTTGTGGTAGAATTCTCTCTGTTTTCTCATTTCCGCTATTAAAAATTAACACGTAATCTTTAATCTTAAGTAGGCAATGAATTATACTAAAATCCTGTTCCCGAACATAACATGAAGGAAATCGCAGACGTGATCACAGAGCTGAAAAGCTGTGGCTGATGAGAGAATGACAGATCCTGAGTCTTGAGCGGCTGCAGCTCTGAATGAATTTGGGTTTTTTTATGTGGCTCTGACCCTGGAGACTTTTGCACGTGTAAAACATACCACAGTGGTTCTTCAGGGTGTATTTTCCTCTAATGCGCCCTTTGCCTTTCCCAGGACTAAGCACCGAGAGAAAGATGGCCACGTCTGTGCTCTCTGCTCAGGGAGCACCGCTGGCCACGGCAGTGGGCTCCACACACGGTCAGGGGCTCCAACGAGCGGGCGCCCCGAGCCCTGAGCGCAGCACTGAGAGCCACGTGCGTCAGCGGCACGCAGCATTGGCCTTCTGCAATGCAACAAGGTGAACACAGCCCACGCCAATTCCCACCACGCACACTGGCCGGAACTGAGCCGGCGCCCCGGCGCCCCTGCCCCCCCCCCGCCCCCGAGAGGGCAGCGGCAGTGTCCAGAACTACAAAGTTTTAGAAGGAAAGGCTTTCAGGATGTGTGTGCTATTTCTTTTTAAATAAAGGTATTTAAAAAGACATTTCTTTTTAAATACAGGTAAACTTCACAGGCACCCGTTCCCGGCTGTGCTCCCACCGCCCCACACATGGGCCGGCATGCACGACACACGTGACCAATGCTCCCCGAATGACGAAATAGAGGAGTGCCAGACAACGGATGAGACCAGCAAATGAAATCCAGTGAGTTCAGAGCAAGGACAAGAGACAGTGATTCTCTCAAAGAAGAGACCAGGGCCACCCAGGGAGAGGCGCCGAGGCCACGCTGCAGACCACGACTCGAGCGACATCTGACACTTACCTTCTTGGAGGCCTGGGACCAGCTTGTAAACAATGTCCTGCATGGTTCTGTCATGACTGGCAAAAAGAACAGAACGGGCAGGGTCAGCCAGAAACGTCGATCTGTCATTCTCGCACATTTTCCACCAACTTCACAATCACAAATTTGGAATTCTGGTTGAATTTTACTTCTAATTTGCACTTAAAAAATGTGTTTGGGAGCAAAAGTTTCACGTGACCTGAATTAACGCATCATTTATGTTCTAGCCACTTACGAAATTTCAAATAACAACACAGTGAGATCCTTCTGGCGGCCAGCTGGACTTTTTACGTTCTGGTGGACAGCAGCCTTGAAAGTCCCAGGGACAGCTCAGCCTGTGGCGCCAGACAAAAGCAGGTTCCCAGACTTTCCGGACCATGACCGTGTACGTCAGGGTAACGCCCATGATACCCTCACTACGTCCATGGCAGCGATTGGCTGGTTTTGACGCTCAACCCCAACCTCGTCTGGACCCCAAAGAGGGGATATCGGGCTGAACTGCTGCCAGAGTTTGACAGCTGGGTCCCATGTGACCGGCCTTGCCCAGAGTGCGGGGGACAGGGGACCTCAGGGAAGGCAGGCGCAGACAGAACAGCGGGGCACAGGCAGGCTCTCGGTGCTGCAGCCCCCAACATGATGCCTTCTCTCTGCACCGTCCGCGTTTCTGCTCCATGCCACCAGTCTACCGTCCCCGCCCACCCCCACTCACGTGTGGCCTCCAGCAGGACGACAGCCCTGGCCTGGAAGGTGAGGCCCGGACACGCGAGCTTGGGCGTGCTCCACCGGACGCCACAGGGCCCTTGCCCAGCCTGCAGCTGGAGGCCCTTCCTTGGGCCACCTCGTGCTCTGGGGGCGGCAGAAGTAGGGCAGGCAGCAAGGCCTCGTGAGCATCGGGACACTCAGAGAAACCTGGCAGCACTGCTTGAGGCCGAGCGCGGACGCGGGGAGTGAAGAGCGGGTTTCCAGTGAGAGCCCCAGGCGGGCTTCGGCCTGAGCCCACCACGCCACCCCTGGCCCTGGTCACCACACGGTCACTGCACAAAGAAGAGGCAAGGCTGCCCCTGACCCGAGCCGCAGACCCTCTTCGTGGTCGGCGCACGAGGCTGGGTCTCTGGCAACCCCCGCCATGGAGAGCCGGGCCCTGCACTCCAAACGCAGCAGCAAGTGTCCACGGCTCGCTGCCTGCACGAAGCCCCTACCGCCACCTGCCCTCAGTTCCGTCAGGAGAGGAAGACCCCCTAGCTCTGAAAAGCCACACCCCAAGGCAGGACACGTGTGCACGCATGTTGCTGATAATTGGGTCCCAGGACACGTACAGCGCTTCTGCAAAGCAGACGCACAGAACAGAGAACCCAATAGGACACTGACGCAGAGGTGAACAGCCACCTCACGCAGCCCGGCCAGCTGGGAAACACAGGAAGACACCCGTGCTCACCCACGACCCGGGAGAAGGGCCAAGGTGGCCCCCCAGAACCACCACATGGCAAAGTGCGATACCTGCAGTGCCCTGCAGGGCAGCGACGCAGCACCCAGGTGCCCCAGAGCGCGTGGGAACGGCCAGGGTAGACGCCCGTGACAGTGCCGTGACAGTGCCTGGAGCCGCAGTGACACCCCGCGAGGACACCCCTCACAGAGCGCTGTCAGTGGTGGGGCCACCACTCCACTAACAGCGACCTTGGGAACACGCTGGGCCAGGGCAAGGCACAGGGCGGCACGCCAGTCCCCGGTAGGAGGCTGGAAAATGGGCAGGCTCCGGCCGCGCTGTGGGCCGGTGGTGGCCACGCAGAGCGCGCTGGCCTGCTGGAGCTTCTGTTGGGGGCTTCAGCTGAGCCGGCACACGCGCCACGCCGCCTGGCTGTGGGGTGAGCCTCTCCCGTCGAAACCCGTGTCAGTCCCACCAGGCCGCTCTCATGGGGCCCCGGGGGCCCCCAAACCCAGAAGGCGTTTAAACCTTGGCCCAAGGGCCACAAGCAAGCACCTCCTGCCTCCTTGGAAGCGACGCTGACTTCTTAGGGTCCCGTCTCCTCAAGACACACGGAGGCGGCGGGCCGGCAGAGGGGCGATCCGAAGGCCACTGCACTTCAGTGTGAACTGCAGCCAACTGGGCACAGAACTAGTACTTCCCAGCCGGCCCGAGGCGTCTCACACGATGCGTCCCGAGCGACACTCAGGGCCCCGGCAGCCCTGCCTGCTGCCCCGCTGTGCGGTCACTGACGCACAGGGCTGCCGGGCGGCCCACTTACCCGATGTACTGCAGCGGGTGGCTCTGGTGGATGACAATCCTGCACGTAGGGCAGGTGTTGTTCTCCTCCAGGTACTTGACCAGGCAGCTCCGGCAGACTGTGTGCAAAGCACAGCGGCATCAGAAAGCCAGCTCAGAATCAAGATGCCGACGGCCGCGGCTCAGCCCGCCTAGGGCCACGGCGGGCGCCGCATCCTGAGGCGCTGTGAAGAGCGCCCAACAGTGTGGACTGCGCGCTGCTCGCCCCACTGCCCCACTCGGTGCACTGGGGGCCCAGCGAGAAGAGCGGACAGTGAGGGGGAGGCGGCCCCGCGGCCCGGGCTGAGACAGCGGCAGAGCGCGCAGTCAGTCCACGCATTCTCGCCACACGGGCCAGCAGCTAAAATGTTTGTCAGCCTAGAAGATCCCAAGATTTCCTTTGTAAATCAACACTGGAAAAAACTCAGTGAAAATAACAAATTATGCCCACTGATATCTAAAAATACAATGAACTTTAAAATAAAAATTCTACCAAAATTGGCAGATATTTCCTTAAGTGAAAAACACAGAATCAAGTCACTGTGCTACAGGCATTCATTCCATTTTAAAAGTCCTGCCTCTGGAAAGTGCTTCTCGACCGCTGGATTCCCCAGTTCCCAGGTAAACCACGCTACCCGCGTTCCAGGTGAGACGGAACTTAAAAAAGGAAACTCCAGTTCAGCGCCAGCTAAAAAGCCAGCGAAAATCGAACATGGGCTTATCAGCTGCGTGTGAGTGTCGGTCACCAGACTCTTGTTTAAGAAGTTGAAAAAATTCATCTGGAAATTTTAAAAATAAGCATTTCTGCCCACTAGAAACATCATGTCATACCACAGTTACTAGTTTAGCTGTTCTATGGAAAAAACTGGATTTTTCCTGTATTTAGCTTCCTTACGTGGTATCTCTGTTAAAATGACCCACAGAATTTTTAACATGAAATATTTTTTCTGATCTATTTTCTGTTTTATTTCTGCTTCTGTGTACTGCTTTGTGCCTGAGCGTAAAAGCTTTTGGTCAAAAAGAGCTGAAGTATCAAAGAACACACGGCTAGTAACTGCTGAAGGCCACGTTCTAGAACATCCCGCACATACACGTATGCAGACACTCGGTCACCGTGGTCGCGTCAATGAGATACCCGCTGCACAGGCGGCAGGTGATGTGGGCGTTTATGTCCCAGAGTTTAATCTTTCTGGTCAACATCTTTGGCTTCTGCAAGAGAAAAATGCACGTTAATTACCATCTGCAATACTCCGGTACATTTCACCAATGGCGCAGGCCCAACTCCAGTCAAGTTACAGCAGGTCCCTCCGGAAGGAGACTCAGCATGCAGAGGGCCCAGGCCGCACAAACTTCCCATCTGTGAGACACGGTGACGATGTGACAACCTCGCTGACCTCCTGGGGGACCGGGACTGTGCCGCCAAACACCCCAGGGCAGCAATCGGCCGGTCGGCGGCAGGGAGCACCCTGCAGACGCTCGGCCGCTGCCCCATGTTGTCCAGCACCGACCCGCTCTGTCCCAAGCCCCCGACCTCCTCTTGCCCAGGGCTCAGCAGAGGCCAGCCAGCAGGCGGCACAAGCAAGGGCTTCTGGGATGTGGCGGGCAGAGGCCGGGGTCGGTGGCCTGAAGCCCTGACTGGGGTACGGCCCCTGTCCCATGTGAGGTTGCCCGAGGGACACCAGTGAGGGCAGCGCTGGGCAAGCTCAATGTCCTTCCACGTGAAGAAGCGGAACGGTCTCGAGACGTGAGACCCACCAGGTGGCGCTCTGACAGGGCCAAGGTTGGGAAGCGGCTGTCAGAGGAGCCACCGCCAGGCGTGCCCAAAGTGAACGCAAGCAGGTTCCACGGCCAGTTCACCGTGACACCCAGACGTGTTCACAGGGACCGTGTGAAACGGCAAACAGCGTGCTGCGGACCGGCTGGTGCAGTCTCCTTGACCCCAGGAGACCCGTTCTGGACTCCTGACCTTTAGCCCCCGCTCCCTGTGCCAGGCTCCAGCCAGCCCGCCGCCCGGGCGCAGCAGCCCTTGGCCAGACTGGGGGCGCACAGAAGCTCTGCCCCCCTGGGCAGCACTGGGAGCACCTGAGGCCCTCTGTTACCCCTGTCACTTATCCACAGGACACTGGTGAAGCATACAACACAGCAAGACCAAACGCCTGTGCACCGAAGTGCTGGCACACAGTTTCTGCCTCGGGACTGGAGCTATCTGTCCCGCGGTCCCCTTCTGGAGCTGCCGCAGCCTTAACGTCTCTCCTGCCGGACCGCAGGCCGCATGAGTGCAGGGCTGCCACCACACCTCCTGAGCCTAACACAGTGTTGTTCCAGGAGGAAAAACAGCCCCAAAGGTGTCCTTAACCGACCCAAAACCTGCATGCTACCTCACGTGACAAAAGGCCCTTGAGACGGGGGATGGTCATCATAGGGTCCTTCTAAGGAGGAGGCCAGAGGGTCACTCAGAGAGATGGGGACACGCCGCGCTGCCGGCATGATGGCAGGGCCACGAACCAAGGATGCAGGCACCCCAGAAGCTGGAAAAGACTAGAACAGGTTCTCCCTGGAGCCTCTGGAGGGAGTCAGCCCTGCGACACGTGGACTTGACCCCAGGAGACCCGTTCTGGACTCCTGACCTTTAGAACCGCCAGCACGCTCGTGTGCAGTGGCCGCCTGGCTTGTGATTTGCCACAGCAGCAGGACATCTGTGCGACGTAAATGCCTCACACAAAGCAGGGCTCTGTGAGCACCGGCCGAAGGGATGCTTCCACAGCAAGCAAACCCAGAGTTCCCCATGGGGACACCAGGACAGACACTGCGGCCATCAGCATCAAGGGCCTGAAAAGTCACCGACGTCACCGAGAGCAGCGGGTTACACGGCTGTGCGAGCAGAGCCAGCTCCGCCCAGTGGCCGCAGTGCATGTGGCTCAGACTGCCGGCCGAAGACACCGATCAACGCTTTTTAAAAAAGAGAAAGAAAGCAAACAGCCCAGAGGACTCCGGACATTTCCATTTGGACGAAGTCCCAGGAGAATGTGCTGGGCCCATCACCGGGCAGCATGGCATGGGGGCCAGGCCAGGACCCAGAGGGCAGGGGCAACCTAGAGCTGATCGTCGCCCACATGCAATCCCACGAGAGCCAACCGGCCATTAGAATGAACTAATGTGTCGGCAAGTCGCCAGACTAAATTCCCTCTAACACTGTGTGCCTCTAAACCAGCACGAACACCCGAAGATTTTCGGAGAAAGGACAATGTGCAAGACACTTCTGGGTGCTCGCCCCGATCTCTCCTCCACCCCCTTCCTTGTGCCCACAGGAAAAGAACCTGTGGCCGCCCCAGCACCCAGGCGCGTCTGCAGGACAGGACCTGCTGCTCCTAGCCGTGTTTCGGTAGATATAACGTGGAACTCAGTGGAATATTCCAATAGCAGCTCCCGTATGCTGACTGGTCCTGCTACTGAAACTCCACAGGACACGGCCTTGCGTGGCAAAGCCACGCGAGCTGTGAGCCTATGAGGACTTGCACGTTGTCTCCCCCAAGCCCTGGCAAAGCCCCAGCCAGGTACCTCTGACCTCCTGGGAAGTGGCTCAAGGAAGAAAGAGCAGCCCGGCCACAGGGAACGGGAAAGGAGGGCAGAGCACGCCTGCGAGGACAAACCCCAAGAGCATGCCCGAGCCAAGCAGAAAGCAGGCCGGTGCCCACGGAGACATTCTCCTGTGAGTGCCCCCAAGGCCAAGGAGCGGTGTCCACTCACTGGCCCTGCTGAGGACTGTGCTGGGGTCTTCAGTTCACACATCTGCCATCGGAAACACGAGGACATGCTCAGCGCCATGCAAATGTTCTTACCAAACAGTGACACTCAGCCACGACGTTCTCCCACCAAATACCAAACTGCCACCGCACACCGAGCCGGAAACAAACTCCTCAATCACACTGGCAAGACGAGGCCTCTGGGCCCTCTGCAGGTATCAGCTTCTGCGCCCGGGTCCCCTTCGCCGGGATCAGGGTCCACCTCTCCTTAACGGGAGCAGAGTCTGCATTTCCTTTGCGGAACCGAGGTTCACGGTAAGTGTGTATGGAGATGGTGCACAGACAAGTGTGCATACTGGTGAGTGTGGACTCACACCTACGTTCCCGGCTCTCCTGGAAGGGCTCCTTGCAGCCTGAGCCCACTGAAGAACCAGGGGGCTTAGACACGTGGCTGACCTGAGGCTGGGCTCAAAAGCATAGGGGACCCGGCACCAGCTCAAGCGCTCCCCTGGCCCACAATGGGCACAGTATGTCACACACTAGGCCCAGATGGACCATCAAGATAAGCAGCAACTATCACCAGGCAAACAAAACCAATCAGATTATCATCTACAGAGTCACACAGAAGTCCGTGAGCCCACACTGGAACAGATGAAGAAATAGGCAAGGGACATGCTTCCTTGTGGCATGTGAGCTGACAAATGTGGAAGGCAGTGAAAAGTCACCCCGTGACAATGACTGCAGGGATGGTTCCCTCAGAAAGTGTCGTGGGCAGGACGGCTCATGGCCTCAAAGCAGCCCGTGAGGCACAGTGGGGCGCAGGGTGGAGGGGGCCCACAAGACGCCACCTGCTGAGTGACCGGGTGATACCCATTCAGGGACCAGAGGGATGACAGGCATGACTCTTGATGACACAGCACCCATGACGGGACTCCTGCTGAGCGGGCACCTCCGGGAAACACCAACAAGCCTCTGTAACAGTCCCAGTCCCAGTCCCAAAAGGCCAGGGAAGATGGACAGGTGCCTGAACGCAGTGCCCAGCTGCGGGCCAGCCCGGATCGGCCTGGAAAACAGGCCTTCTGGCCACTGACCACCGTCTGGAGACGAGACCGGCCTGCTCCCCTGGACCGGGCTGCTGCTCTGGCCACGCTGGGACATGCACGCTGGGCGCCCCCGTCGGCCACCCTCCTGTCCTCAGGCACACGAGGAGCTGCGTTCA